TCGGTAGGCTCACTCCAAAGCAGACAGCAGATAGGCCCCAAAATTAAAGTTTCTTTTAAACCATCATACTGGAAAGGTGGGAGAGCCAGGAAGGACCAGGGCTGCCGAAGGGCATCCCTGCCTGCCTTGAGCTATGGTTCTTGTTTGGCAAGGTCTGCAACAAAACCCAGCTGCTCTCCATACGTTTCTTTCCCATTTGCTGCGCTTTTTCTGGGCATCTGCTTTCTTGGTACCACCTTCGTGGGATCTAGCTTCCCCTGCACCAGTTTTCCCAAGGCAGAGGAAATAAAGCACACTGCAATAGCCTGCAGTATTTTCTTTCTGATTCCAGCCACCCTTGTTCATACAGGTACTTGCTGGCTTAGCTTTCTTCCTATGCAGAGATCCTTCCTTGCAGTGATGCCATGGAAAACCTTTACCATACACAAATTCTGTGTGCCAGAGCTCCGAGAGCCTGGTTACAACAACTAGAATTCAATGTGCTTTATGAGCCTGTATCACTCAACACAGCCATCACGCTGACTTCATACGAAATTCAGTGTAATAACCCACTATTGCTCTGCAGCCTATTTTCATTCATATGATATCAGGGAAAGCCATTAGCTTCTCTACTAAGTCCTACACAGGAAAGCCATAATGAACTGCTGCAGCACTGACAGGGGTTTAGCCAGCCCAAGAGCCTTTTGACATGCTGTTAATTGTGAGCCTGACCCTCTGATTTCCTATTTTAATTTCCTCCCACTCTGCATGCCCTGGAAGCCAGCTAGTCGGTACTTACAGAAGACAGATCCTAGAGCACTCGGGAAGCCTATTCTACATTTAATAGGAAATCTTGCTGTGGTGTAAAAGGGAGCTCTCAAAAACCTGCCTATCTGTTAAAAACGCAACATCTTATTTCTATGAACAACTGCTTTGTGTTTAAGGAGGCATGTCCCACGTCTCTAGGATTTGCCCCAGGTGGTAATCCAGCATTTTATGAGCTCTCATCTACAAATTCTTCCTGTTACCTTATAACTAAAAGTTTTTCAAGAAATTATACATTTTAGATTTAACGACAAATTTTTAAGAATCATAAGCATCAAACCCCCTGAATTGCTGCTGAAATTGTAAAAAATAAACTTTCTATTGAAATAGAAAGAAAATTCACTTAAAATTCTGATGGGGGAAACAATAGTTCTTACACCAGCTCTTCTAAATACAATGGTTTAACAACAGACATTAGCAATAATCTTGGGTGTTCTTTGAAGTCACTGCCCCCACCCTCCTGTGTTTTAATTGAAGACTGATTAGAAAATGAGCATATATACCCCCAAAACGATGTTTTTCTTTTATGCACATTAAAAAAATTAACCTACGTAACTGAAGATACAAATTTCCTAAAATCGTAAGAAATACATTAACAACTGCAACAACTGAAAGGATGCCTACATAATGGTTTCCTTTTCAGAGATGACATGCAACATTACAAACAGAGAAGAGGCTGCCCTGAGAAACGAGGGCAGCGGGTGCCAAGCTTGTGCAGGGGTTGGTGGCACACTGCCCTGGGGATCCCGTCTGTGCCGGCTGGAAGGAGGATGCAAAAGCCACAGCCTGAGCTCATGAGTCAGATGTGCTGGGAAACGCCTCTGAAGCCTTCATGTAGTCATTCAAGACCAAAAGGTCAGTGTCAGTCTTAAATATACAAAGAAACTTCTCATTGAACAGAAGCTCCTCCTCACAAACATATCCCACACATGCGTACCTGAAAAAAGTAACTGGCTAATAATTAGTTTTGAAACCAGTGCAATTAAGCGAAGTATTTTGGTAAGGTTTAATTAAAGAAAAGCACCCTCTCAGCGCTGCTGCTGCTGTTTTTGTGGAATCTCCTCTGACCTGCAATAAGGGTACTCCAACACTACCAAGTAACACAAGTGAAAATATATACTGTGATGTTTTCATTCATTTCAGTATTATTCAATAGAAGAAAACAGTGCAAAATTTTTACAGAGACAACACTTGGCTTTATGTTTTCATTTCAGCACAGGAAGATTATTTCTTAGTGGGACAGAAAAAAGAAAGTTTGTGAAAAACGTAATGAAAATCCTATCTTTAATTACTATTTACAAAATTATTTTTCCTTCATTCAAAATGTCATTTTGAGATAAATAGTAAGGAAAAAGGTCAGGATTACTGAGTCATTACCTATTTCAAAGGCACCCACCTGAGCTTATCTCTTAGGTAAGCCATTTATCTGAGCTTTATTTAAGTACAAGGTCAGATATTTCCTCCACTTGTACTTCCAAAATCACAACGGCAGTGTCAGTCTCATCATGGTTGCGTGTCATGTGTCCCGTCTCCCCCACTGCGCCAACTGGTTTTTGTTAAAACACTCTAACCAGACACCTTACAGGATATCTAGTGGAGAGCAATATTCTACAGTTAACTGTCTCGAAATAGTTATGTCAAAGTTTGCTTTGCCACCTGAAGCTGATGACAAGGAACAACAAAAATAATCAGATCCTGCTGTGATACCGCATTTGAACTGGATAAAATACCGAAGCTGTGCAACATCAGGAAGAGACCACAACTGGTACCATATAGCAAGTGTCAGTGGTTTTAGCAACATTACCTGGTTTTCTTCCATATTTAAAAGATGGAAAAATCTATCAGTAAAATGCTCATGAAGGAAAATAAGTCAGTTTACAGCTACAAAGCATCTTCATTATCTTTTGTACATTACTGTCAAGTGTTTTCACAAAAAATGATCATAATTTCTTCTGTGAAAGCCACTGAATTGTAAAGACTCACTAAAATTAACAGCAATAAATTAAGCCCAAGTAAAATAATAATTTTAATTCAATATATTACTAGTATTACTATAAATATTATGTTTATCATTCATGTTTACATTTATTCCTGTTCAGATACTGGCAGGAATTGAAAATACATGTTAGCAGTAAGCCACACTGGAACGTCCAGCAGCTTTTGAAGCCAAACGTGCATAATCCTTCATATGAAGCAAATATAATGGTTAGATAGACTCAATTACCCTTCAGCTACACGCAGTGAGTCATCATATTAAGAAAAAACCCTTTTATTTTAAAAATTCCTACAATCTTTGTGAAGGGACAGTACCACCCTGTAACAGCACAAACCCTTCGGCAGGATTTGCAATCTGCTCCACAAGAGGGCAACCAAATTCCACTATAAAATGGATAAATAATCCTGTAGAATTTAAATGTGACCATTCATTTTAGCTAAAACCAGAGTATCTCCCTGTCCTAGAGCGGTTTGGAAAAAGCTAGCAACACACTTAACTTTGGGGGAGCAAGCAGAGACCCAAACTCCACCTCTTTTTCCCTCATAAACAGTGGTGACAGGGAACTGGTACACATGTGGGGAAAAGGTGCGTTTGAAGAAACCAAACCTTTTTTGTGGGATTTTAGTAGCTTCAGACACAACAAATACCCTGTAATCTTGGGCATCAGTTAAAGCATTTCGCTTTACTGGCAATAAAGCCACCACAGGCTGGGACATGAACAAATAATGTGAAGTGGCTACGATATACGCAATTTGTACTGCAAGTAGAGATGAATGACAAGGAAATCTCTGGGACAGATCAGAACAGTGAAACCATCTTGTGGCCCCTGTGTCTTTTGCTTGTAGTCTGTGAGCAGTTCCACTGATTTCCCATGCTAAGGCTGCACCGCCACAACACTGGAAAGTCAGAAAATGCTACTCCACTCACTGCTGAAGGACAGCATCAAAGATGCTTCACAGGCAGGGAACACCAGTTAAATCTTACCACATGACTTGGAAAACATATACTGGCTCTGTCGCCTGCCATTCTTACCTCGCTGCTCAGTCGTTTCCTCTGGAGTGCCAAGCAGGCCTGTCCCTACTCTAGCCACTTTTTTCACAACACCTTCTTCTAAGATCGAGCACTCCAGTCAAAATGCACAATTCTTAAGATCCCCAAATTCTGAACTGAGAGGAGACAACCTGCTTATTTGGACCCGTAAGAAGTGCAGCTAACACCAGCCTCTGTATCCAATCAGAACTTAGTGCTGTTGAATCCTTTGTACTTCTGAACAGTTGAAGTAGCTACACTCTGAAGAATCCAAATAATTTTAAATCCAAAATGCATACTGATGCAGCCTACATGTATATTTGTCACACACGATAGTGTCTTTTGGGCTATGTTCATAAGGTTCAATATATCTATTCTCTTTTTAGGTTTTCACTTGACGGCCTATTATCTAACTCAACTATGGCAAAGCATTAAGAATATCTGCAACAATACAAAGTATTGTCGTCTTTGTAAAAAGTGCTTTAAGATGTGACATTCATGAAACACTCTGAAAAAATCTCTCCAAGGTAACAGAATACACTCTTCATATGAACAAGAGAGATGCTGGAATCCAACACATTTGATACACTAGCAGTAAGCTACAGCAGCACAACTTATTTGGAACATTAACCCTGTTTACTTCCTAGTCAAATCTAAAGAGATGATAAATTTGCTACTACTATGCAAGACAGTTCTACAAGCCTTGAGTATAGAGCTCATTACAGACCTTCTGTTAATGAGACTTACAAACAAGAGACACAACCCTTACTGCCATCACTATAAAACAAACAATGCTGTATCTTCCAGGTAAAGCCTGGTCAGAACAGTGGATTTGCAGAGATGTGGCTAACAGTTTCATTTGAAGCATTGTTCAAAACAAAACAACAAAGAAATGAACAAACCTTCAAAACCTGAAAACTTTCACTGAACAGGCTGATCAGATTATGTCTAACTCAGCAAACCAGAATTTTCCAATAAGTAAACTTTGGTTTCTTGTTTTTTCACACCTCCTCTAAAATGCTCCAAAAATGAAAAACCAAAGTAATTTTTTAAACTAAAAAAATTTTGATCTGTAGTATTTTTAAATTTCTCCTTTGGTTAGTTTCAGTTCTGAATGCACTGTTTGTTGACAACAATGCAACCAGAGAGAAGCAAGCGGCAAAGTACTTACTGCTCTGGACTAGAAACTGAAGTCCTTCGTCCTTCCACAGCAATATTGCTCCTGGGTCTCTTAACAACATGTGGTCTTGGCGGGCGAACCTATTACATACACACACATAGAAGACATTTCATCAAATACTTCAAGTTGATCAAACAACAGACATAAATAACAAAATATGCATAACCACCATTACCTTAAAGTTATCTTCCATTCAAAATTGCTTTTAAACTTTTTTATTTTTTTGTGTCACAATAATGTTACAAATTAATATAGATATACAAATGAATATAAAGTATGAATATAAACTACAGGGACCCACAACTTGTTTAAGGACAAAAAACCCTCACGTTTTTGAATAGCAAATGAAACATAAAAGCTTGTCACTGACTGTTAGCTATTAGCAAAGCAATGAAAATTTGTTCTACTGTCCTGTTTGGTACAGGCTAAATTTCTGACAAAAGAGTCACTAAATGTGAGCCGCCGCTTACACAGTTAGTTGATAGAGTAAAATTGAAAAATCCTGTGTGTTGCTGTACATTATATTGGAAAGTGGAGTTCAGCTCTGACATCATGATCCTTTTGTCTATAGGAACCCAATTTCTCAAGCAAAGACTTCTGTGTAAGGGAGCACTGAAAAATTTGTACTTAGAACAAATTTATAACATGAAAAACTTAGCTTATTCTTCATTTAAAATTTGCTTCCATTCAGCAGCTGAACAGAAACCCTTGCCAGATATATTATCACCACTAATGTTATGTTAGTGTATCTTTTCTTGTCTGTAATAAAATCCAAAGCTTTTCTGTGGAAGATGATGTTACTTATTATGTGTTACTTAAATAACACATCCATCACCTTCTAAGGTTCAGAAATCAAGCTTAATTTACTTACATTAACTCCACAAGCAAAGGAAAGGAATGAGCACTTGTGATCACTGTACAGGCAAAGTTTATATATGTGCCTACCCACATTAGTGAGTAATCCTGTTGATAAACTTAGTCGTTTGAGTCAAATGGGGGAATGAACATTTCCAGCATCAGGATCAGGCTGTACAAAAAAGCTTTCCATTTTTTGTTAAGCAAGTACTACCTTACCCGAAACGGAGTCTGATTTGTTGGCTTAGCTGAATGCTAATTTCAACAGAAATCCCCAAAGCCCTCAAATAAACTTAGGAATACAACTCAACTTCTGACCTCCCCGAGCTTGTGCTCCCTTAATAGCCACAATATAAGGGAAGCCGTTAAAGGCCTACAACCTAAGCACTCTTTGGATGACTAATGAATTTATTTGCAATGATAGAATAGATGCAGATTTCCCCTCACCTCTGCAAGTTTGTTTCTGTTGGATCTTCTGGTTTTTGTTTTTATTATTTCTTGGGGGAGGGAAGGTGTTTCTGGTTTGGGTGGTTGGGGTCTTTTTGTTTGTTTGTTTGTTTTCGTTTTTTGTTTGTTGGTTTGGTTTTGTGTGTGTGTGTGGTTTTTTTTCTCCTCTCTCTCCCCAGACAAAAAAACCTCAGATTTTCTTGCCAGGAAAAAGCCACCAAATTGTGTGTAGTATTTCTGTACCACACAACAGTATGTAGAAGATAGTAGCAGAATTATTGTATTGAATTTTCATTTCAAAGGAAACGGTGTACAGCAGATATGATGAAGAAACCCAGAGATGTATTGCCACTATTTCTTAAGAAAAAGGGCTTATAAAAAGGTCAGATGTTAAGGTCTTGAAGATCAGTCCCCACACAAGGCTGCTCCTCTCTACAATAAAGACAGCTTAAGAATGCGAATTTATGGCAGGAATGGAAGGATTAAGTTTGTGGCAACTTCAACTGAACTTGCAACGTGGTGAAACATAGGGAAAAGAACAACAGAGCTAATTAGACGAGCTGAGCTGTCAGAGTGCGGCTGAATGGCTCGGTGCCAACAAACAAAAGGAATGGGCTGGCAATCAGCAGGATCGATGAAGAATACTGCTTCATTAGGGTTGATAAAACAGAGAGAGAGACCGAGAGAGAGAGTGCGTGCGGGGTGGGGGGAGAGGAATTGCAGGGAGAAGAGAGCGAGAAGGAAAAAGAGAAAAAGAGAGGAAGAAAGAAACCTGTTTAATTAAATCTGAGCTGGAAGATGATGTGTAAAGCTGGCTTGTCATCATGCTGTGAACACTTTCACCTTTTGGGTGGTACCCTGGGGGAGTGATGGTGATGAGGGAGAGAGATGAGAGTTTTGGATGGCTCCAGGGGGCCACCAGACCAGTAAAGTGCAGGGTGACATGCTAAGTAGGATTTAGAGCATTGTTCATGGGGGACTGCAGGGAAAAGCCAGGAATCAAGCCAAGTCCTTGCTGGATTTTGAGCCTTATGCAGCCAAATAGGCACAGTTAAATGCCTATCAAATGCAAAAGTATGAAAGAAATCCAATTACATGAGCACACAGCCAAAAGAATAAAGGTAAACATCCAGTACGGAAGGGTTAAAAGTGCTTATTACTGTCCCCATCAACTTTATGCATAATTATTATATTTTAACTTTTTCTAATCGAAGTTTCCAAACAGCCACTATTAATCCAAACAGACCTCCATTAATTATATGCAACAACCCTTTCTCTTTCATAATATCACCACAACTCATTTCCAAAGCAGTAGAATGTAAAGAACATATCGTTCAGCTTCCTCAATCTTTCTTTTGTCTGTGTTTGTGTTTTTAAGTATTAGCAACGACTCATATTGCAAGGACTAGTGCCCACGGTTTCCTCCTCCTAACAGATATATCCTGAAAACACTAAGTATTTCTCAGGAATTGTGGTATTATGTGGACTTGGTTGGAAGAGCCGAGGGACCCGGTCTCCTCTTTCCGTGCTTGCTGTAAAAGGCTAGGACAAATTACTTGCTGATACCCACCTCTGTAATACACGCCAAGACTAAAAGAGGAAAAAAGCAGCCTGCACAAAGTATTATTTACACACATAAAAATGTGTTTCAACTATTAAAAGCCAAATAACAGTTCTGAACAACAACAAATTTATGTGTATTTGGTACAAGCATATTTTTGGGAGTGATTATAATCATTTACATTTATCTTGAATTTCCCCTTGATGAATGAAGCATTTCTGTTCCACTTACTGACACAGCTAGATGAATGCAACAGGAGCTTTTATTATTACATTTCCAACCTTTTATCAATCACATTGGGAGCAAAGACAGTTGACACAAACACATTATAGTGAGGACTATTAATGCACTACATCGGGGAGATTAAACAGTCTTAGCAAGACTTTAATGTAATAAATCACTCAATCTCAACAATACCGTTCAGCAACTTTTGTACAGAGGAATCGCAATGTGCCCTCATACACCTGCCAAACACAAAACAGGAGGGCTATGAAGCACTATGGGAACCCCACAGTACCATGGAAAGTTTGGTCCCAGTGTAATGCATCTGGGCCGGTCTCCCACACCAATTACATTTAAGAGAACACATTTAAGCATAGTCAGTGCTACCTTTTAAACACAGAAAACAGAAATCTTCAGAGCAGGAATCCATAAAAATGAGTCTGTTAAGCCAAACACCCAGAGTTAAAAAGAGGGAGGAAAAGAAACACATGCTATTGAAATGTAACATAGGAACATGCACCAAAGATCAAAAGTTAACACACACCCCCAAGTGCACTTGTTAGCCAGTTGCCTGCTCATCCGAAACATTTTTAACAAGTTTTAGCAAGATTAGATTTGAAAACTTGCATCTCTCTCTTTCTCATGCATGTATATATATATATACAAGGAAGCAAGGTGTAAGATGTATTCACCTTTTGGAGGAATTACATTCATAAAGCAAAAGTCCTGAATAGAAATAAGTATCTTCCAAGGCTGTTGCAAAAAACAACACCCCTTCTAAACTGATACCACTTTCCTGTACTACTAAAAAAAAACAACAAAACATCACTGGTGCACATCTAGCACAGTCTCCAGTTTTAAAGCTATCTGGCATAGTTACATAGTTAATATATAGCAATTGTCCTACAGTTAGTGTTTTGCATGAAAAACTGCTGGGATAAATTATCCCTGCCTAATACAGTAACAGGTATTGCACTGAGAATAATTTCTGTGTAGTTGGTCTACGGAAGAGTCACTGCCTCTGGCCAACATGCTGTGCCTACATTTTAATATCACGTAATTACACAGAGTTCCAGCTTGCATTTTAAATGAACACAAAGTATATATGTATATCATCCATAATGTGGTACTAATGTTCCACCGCCCGAATACAGACTTTGCTTTCTTCATGTGTATTCACTCATCTATTCCATGGAGAAAAGTTAAACGTCCCAAATTAATCTAAAGCATAACTTGCAGAGAATAAATACTTTCTCTTCAGACTTCTGCTTCCTTTCATATTTGAGTTTAGTGCAAGTCTTCAAAAGCTCACTGGCTAAAAACTTATGCCAGCCTAGCAAGACTTTTAATTTAAGAAATCACCACTAAAGTAAAAAGAAATGTTGCAACAGCAGCATCAGTTACCTGCAGAACTGACTGAAAGCTGCAGAACTCATCAAAGAAAAGCAGAATAAATGCAGGTCCCAGGGCTGTGCCTCAGCAGAGAAGAAGGGAGTTTAGGAGCATAATTCACACATTGCTTTTTTGCAAAGTTTGACAATCCAAACTACCAAGGTTTAGTAATGCTACTAAGAGCGTAATTCAGGCAGTGTTAAGCTGTGGCAGTGAAACAAAACTACCAACTACTCACGGGCCTAGATGAACGCTGTATCTTTGGAGGCGGTGGCCGAGGTGGACGGAGTCTCTGCTGCTGTATCAAAGTGGAAACTAAATTAAAGTCACCTACATGAAAACACCTCTGATTTTGTGGCAAAAGCAGTATGAGTGGATGACGACACACGGTGTACCTTAACTCCATACTCACCTCACAAAATGCAATTTTTCTTCCCCCCCCCCCCCCAAACAGTGACAAATCTCATGACCTGCAAAGTGCCACAATAGGAAAGGTAGTTATATCTGCCTGTTGACATAGGCTTAACATAGCTTCTGTTAAACCAAAGGATTAGCACTTCAGACCAGATCATCCAAAATTTACTGAGACAACAAAGACGCTCAAGGTGGATTCTTGGACCTCAAGGTCCAAGTGTTCTAGACAACATTTATGCAAATGGAAAGAATCCTGCAAAGCAGAATATTCAAAACAGCCTTCACTAAATTCTCAAGAGTGATTTTAGTGCTTGTGAAAACTTATGGTAAAGGCCTCAAACCAGGAAAGTCATTTAAGAGCATGGGAAAAAACCCTAGGTCAATCAAACTTCTTTTACACTTAAAGATGAGCACATGTTTAGATACTGTACTGGATGAAGGTTTAAATGCATTGCCTAGAGCAAAGTGTGTACTGTCATTGTAAAGAAAACTAAAAGCCCATCACCAACAGTTCTAATGAAGACAGAACAGTGCATTATGATGTCTATTTTGGTGTCTCATATATTAAATTAGCAGTTGGTCAGCTCATTACTTTGTAACAGCACTGGAGCTATTCCAATCCAGTTGCTTTTAACTGAGCCAGCATCATGACTCTCCTCACACAGATGGCATCTTAAGGTATAGTCTGTTAGACAAGGAATCCACCGACAATTGACGAGATTCTAAATAAAACCATCCTAAAGTACAACTTTGATATTGAGAACAAGATCACAGTTGATGTCCTTTCTGTGGCAGGTTGTGCACATGTATTAGCACTTCAAGAGAGAAGCAGAGCCCTCAGTGAGGAGCACACAGGAACGTCTCTGAACGCCCGCTCAACCGGATGACGACGACGACTGCATCACTGCCCCCAGCCCACGGTGCCTTCCATAGACAAAAGCCCACCAGTCATACAGAGAAGGAATTTCAACTGGCAGTGGGAGTCAGCTTCTTCAGACAGAAAAAGAAAGCTTACGCAGATTACTGTATTTCTCTCCAAAAAAGATTCCAGATTAATATCTCAGCAGTTCTCAACTTCTTACTAGGATAGTCTTTATTCTAGATTGACAGGCATTCTCTCTCAACTACTGTCACACTGTGTAATAGTACAACTCCAGCCTACCCTCTTTCACACCATTTTCATTCTCTTCTTGCATCTCTTCAGACTTTTCTTTCAAATTTCCCATTAAATGACACTTTTGCACCCATTGGTTCATTTCTCTTTACTTGTGTTGTCAATGAAGGAGTGCCAGACAACACACATGTACCTGGCTCAGCTTTTCGGGGTGCATGAGGGGGGAAAAAAAAATAATTAAAAAATAAAGGGATACTTGGGACAAAGAGTTGAGGCCAGAATTATTCCACGTGATAGGTTCCCTCTGTATTTTCCAAGAAAGTAAATATGAAAACAAAGAGAACAAAGAGAGAATTGACAGGGTGGCGAGCTGAGGTGGCTGCCATCAGCCCTACTGAACTGTTTCTCTTCTGTACCTCATATTACTCAATTCAGTCACAGAACCTGAGTTATGCTGCTGTGTATCTTCCCATCTTATCTGCTCAGGCTGAGAGCACAATCTTAAAATATATTTAACTTTTGTTACATAACACAGCATACTTATTTTCCATTACGTTTCAAAAGCATAATGGAACACCTGAAAAATCTGAAATTTACACTTTTCTAGTTACTTAAAAGATATTCATTTGCTATCTAGCAACTTAGGCAAAGAAAACAAGACACAATTATTATTAATTTATTTTTTCAAATTTTTTATGTCTCCTGCATATATACTTTCGTTATTTTTTTCCCTTTTACTTACCTAGAAATTGTGATTATTGCTACATTAGAAAATTCTCCAGTAAGTTATTTAGGTGAGAAATTTAAGTATTTTCCTAAAGCCATGGCTAGCAGTGCCTTCTTTGATTTGGGAATCAGTTATTCCTTTCTATAGAAAAAGCCAGGATAATTTTTGAGGAAACATTGCAAGACTGTAGGATCAACAGTATTAGTTGATGAACCAATGGCAGTATTGTTAAAGCTTCTGAAAAAAAGCATGACAAAGGCAGGCCCTTCAGAAAGCAAGACAGACAATGCAGTAGCTGAGGATTACCTCCCAGCGAGGTGGTCAATACATTGATTATAGTCACTGCACTGAACTGTACTTACCCATCCACGTACTCACTGGAGGAAAAATATTTTTCTGAGAAAATGCATGACAGGATTTGTTAGTTATCTGCCACATCACTGTTTGATTAGACAATGGCAAGAAAATCAAATTTTAAATATTTGGGGGTATCCGAAAACTACACTTTGTGTTAAAAGAGTCACCAATACTGGTACCCTTTTCAGCTGAATTCCTAATGTGAACTGAAGAATACCCATACACAAGTCAGAGAATACACAAAAGAGTAAGAGCATTAGATATTCCAGTACAATGTGGAGGAGTTTAATAGGACTACCATCTCATTGCGCACTCCTTGCCTGTAGCCAAACCACACGCAGTACTAATATTTCACTCCTGTTAGTCCTAAGTGACCAACAATTACAAACCAGACCTTAAAACATCATGACGCTGGCCTGGAACTCAAAACTATATATACTTTTTTTTTTTCCTTTTGGTCTCTGAGTGATAAGCGTAAGGCCATGTTGCTTTCAACTTTTCTCTGATTTCAAGAGGGTCAAAACCCCTCTTCTTTAGTATGAGCTGTGATTCTCATTTAATTACTTAACTCCAGGACCAAGGAATACTGAAGACAGAATTTCTCAAGGTTTACGATATATACATGAGTTATCTGCACTTACTGAGGTTACCTCAGCTTCCATTTTATTTGGGGATTGTAAAGTAACACAGATTTAAAAAAAAAAAAAGTCTTTACTTAATTATTTGCAATTCAGACAGACTTTTTTTAACACAGTCTAAAACCATAAGCTCAAGTGTGATGTCATACCTGCAGTCATCTCTTCCCAGCATTCTCCTTTTTACTAAGCTTTCTATTGATATTAGCATTGATTCATCTTGCTGCTCTTCCAAACTTACCTTTTCATTGACTGAACTCTCCTCTTCTCTTACTGAAGTTATCACATGATAAATCAATGCCACACAGACTGACATCTTGAATTCCAGGTGGAATTCAGTCCAGCCACAAATTACTGATAAATCCATAACTTTGAAGTGTCATAATCTAAACTCCTTATGGATCTACCCTAAAAAGAAAAAAAATCATTCAAATTCATGACCTTGCTACAAGATTTGCCAGTGAAAGAAAGAATGGGTAGCTGCTTCTTCACTGTCATCTGTTGCATCAGCATCTTGAGAAGCTTTCCTTAGACAGCAGTTAAAATTCTGCGTCTATCTATCTACTGAAAAGTTTTGTTTCTCCTCCAGAACAGCTGGTACTTTTCTCTGCAAGTAGCAAGATACTGGACAAGACACATGATATATAAGGCGAGTCCAAACAAGAAGCAGCATTGATATCCTCCAGCAAAAGTTTCAGCTGGCTCATTTTTGGTCAAGGTTCTGTAATGCAGAATTCAGTTAGATGGAAAAGGAACGAAGGAAGAAGGGAAGGAAAGGGAAGGAAAGGGAAGAAGTTTTTTTTCTTTCTCTAGATCATAGGAAGATTTCAGACAGAATGCTTTAGCTTGCCCCAGGATAGAACAAGCACATGCTGGGGCAAATTTTGTGCAAGTATCATTTTAGTTCTAGGGAAGTGAAAATAAAAATTACCCTACACTTATGTTTAAGCCAAGAGTTTCAAGCTGAAATGCAGACTCAGGTGAGGAGAAGACAGTGGGACTTGCAGGTAAACAAGTAAACTACCACATAAAAACTATCTGAAGAGAATAGTTCACAGACATATGACATGCTCCTGATGCAAAATCTAGAAGTAGTTATTTGCTGTACATACCAGAGGTATGTTAGGGTTCAGCACACAGAGTGCATGTAATGCCATGACAAACCAGGGGGGTAGGGGGGCAGGCCTGGTGACAGAAAGGAGTGTTAACTCAGCCAAACACCCTCCTAAAATGAGATCCCAACAGTGCTTTCTGAACAAGCAGAAAGACAAATGCTGAAGTTTCATTTTCAAGGATGCTTAAATCTAGGAGCAGTGCATGGATAAACTACATCTGCTCCCAGAGTAGTGCAGGTAGCGGCAGAAATCATGCAATCCTCCTAAGAGCTGGACTAAGGCGGGCTCTTTGTATCCATACACTGAGCTGAAGGAAACCAACTGGTCCCACAGTCCAGACCTAAGGGAGATAAAGTGAAGTATTAACCGCACACAGTGGCTGAGTTAACTACAAGTACCCGAGTGAAGAAAGGGGTTTGGTAAAGCAGGAGAACATGCAGTCAGCTGGCATTTGTACACTAAGGACCTCTCTATCAGACATTTCCTGATGCTACTGATCAAACAGAGGCAGTTTTTTTGGGTGATGGTTACAGGCAGATCTACTCAGTAACAACGAACTACTCATTTGCAGGAGCTAATACTTTTATATCCTTATCCTGTCACTGGATTATTTTTTCCAGTTGAGATTTAAATATCACATATGATTAAGCTTTCACCTCTGATCAAAAAATAATTCTGTGTTTCCACAATAAAGACATATACAAACTCTACTTTGGGAAAAGATTAAAGGTGTAGAAACTTTGCGTCTCTTAGACTTTCAAATAGGCAACGTGTTAACTCTCAGAACTGTGACCTCAGTACTTGTAACAATACAGTCAAATCCAACGCTCAGATTCAAATTTATCTTATCCACTGAAGTGCTACCAGAAATAAAGTTCATTTTGAGGTCTTGTATGTGTTGCATCACATATTATATTTCTGAACCATGAAGCGATC